CTCTCTGTCTCTCTCACTGTCCACTCTGCCTGTCAAAAAATAAAAAAATAAAAATAAAAAAAAGACGCCTACCTTACACCTTACACAAAAATCCACTCAACATGGATTAAAGATCTAAATCTATGACTTGACACCATCAAGTTATTAGAGAACATGGGAGAAACCCTGTAAGATACTGGCACAGGCAAAGACTTCTTGCAAAAGACCCAAGAGGCACAGGCAGCCAAATCCAAAATTAACAACTGGGATTACAACAAATTGAGAAGTTTCTGTATGGCAAAAGAAACAGGATAGTGAGGAGGCAACCGAAAGAATGGGAGAAATCATTTGCAAGCTATGCAACTGATAAAGGATTAATAACAAGAATCTACAAAGAGATCAAGAAACTCCACAACAACAAAACAAACAACCCTCTTAAGAGATGGGCCAACAAGAAGGCAGTGGAGGATGGCGCAAGTGCTTGGGCCCTGCACCAGCATGGGAGACCAGGAGGAAGCACCTGGCTCCAGGCTTCAGATCGGCACGGCATGCAGGCCGTAGTGGCCATTTTAGGGGGTGAACCAATGGAAAAAGAAGACCTTTCTCTCTCTAACTCTGCCTCTCAAAAAGAGGGAGAGAGAGATGGGCCAAGGACTTAAACAGACATTTTTCAAAAGAGGAAATCCAAATGGCCAACAGACACTTGAAAAAATGTTCAGAATCACTAGCAATCAGGGAAATGCAAATCAAAACCACAATGAGGTTTCACCTCGCTCCCATCAGAATGGCTTTCATACAGAAATCAACAAACAACAAATGCTGGTGAGGATGCGGGTGCAGGGGCCCAAGGACCTGGGCCATCTTCCCAGGCCATAGCAGAGAGCTCGATCAGAAGAGGAGCAGCCGGGACTAGAACCGGCGCCCATGTGGGATGGCAGCGCTTCAGGCCAGGGCATTAACCAGCTGCACCACAGCACCAGCCTCTTTCAAATAAACTTTAAAAATCTTTTTATAAAAAAAAAAAAAAAATCCCAGGACAGCATTTCAGGCATGGAAAGCCAAGACACTGTGGTGAAAAATGACCTACATGAAAGATCTCTGAGTGAGATCCCGGTGGAAAAGGACCATCAAAGAAGGAGGTACCTTTCTCTGAAGGGTGGAGAGAATTTCCACTTCGATTATGGCCCTGTCAAAAATAATGTTGGAGTTTGTGGGATCAAGAGGTTTCCATAGCCTTGGCAGCTCACGAAAAGAGCCTCGGGTGATCACTGACGTCATAAATAAGAGTGTCAATTGTTCAATCAACAACAGGAGTCACTGTGGACTTGCTCCCCATGTAGGATCTCCATCCTTATTGAGTTGTACTATGAGAATTAACAGTAAAACTAGTCTTCAAACAGTACTTACACTTTGTGTGGGTGCAAACTGTTGAAATCTTTACTTAGTATATAGAGTTGATCTTCTGTATATAAAGATGATTAAAAATGAATCTTAATGAAGAATGGGATGGGAGAAGGAGTAGGAGGTGGGATGGTAGTGGGGGTAGGAGGGTGGGTATAGAGGGAAGAACCACTATAATCCAAAAGCTGCACTTATGAAATTTATATTTATTAAATAAAAGCTTTCTAAAAGAAAAAATATTTTATCAGTATCTTCCTAATTTATATGGCTGCATCATTACATAAAAATATTTGTAGAGCCGGCTGGGCCCTCTGGTACAGTGAGTTAAAGCCCTGGCTTGTAGCACCAGCATCCCACACAGGCGTGAGTTCGAGTACCAGCTGCTCTACTTCTCATCCTGCTTTCTGTTGATGAGTCTGAGAAGATAGTGGAGCACAGCCCAAGTCCTTGGGCTCCTGCACCCACATGGGAGACTTGGAAGAAGCCCTTGGCTCCTGGCTTCGGATCAGCTCAGCTCTGGCCATTGGAGCCCTTTGGGGAGTAAACCACTAGATAGAAGATCTCTCTTTCTCTCTGTCACTATATCTCTAAGTCTCTCTCTCTTTTTTTTTTTTTAAGATTTATTTATTTATTTGAAAGTCAGAGTTAGAGTTAGAGTCTTCCATCCGATGGTTCACTCCCCAATTGGTCACAAATGGCCGAAGCTGTGCCGATCCAAATCCAGGAGCCAGGAGCTTCTTCTGGGTCTCCCACACAGGTGCAGGGGCCCAAGGACCTGGGCCATCTTCTACTGCTTTCCCAGGCCACAGCAGAGAGCCAGATTGGAAGAGGAGCAGCCAGGACTCGAACTGGCATCCATATGGGATGCCAGCGCTTTAGGCCAGGGCATTAACCTGTTGTGCCACAGCGCCAGCCCCTTTGAGTTTTTCAAATAAAAAATTAAATCTTTAAAAAAATACTTACACATACACCAAATATAAGAATATTTAATCTACAATTGTAAAATATTTTAGAATCCACTTATCAGATACACACAAAACAGTCATATTATATAATTCATCTATAGTACAAAGAAACATCAAGCTGTTAATAGAACTACTTCCTGAATATGTGAGATTTTACTAAGTAGCATATGTAATGACTTAAAACTGGGGGTAAGGCAGTAAAATCCTCATTTTGTTCCTATCTGCCAAGTAATAAGGAAATGGAGAAGAGCTGAGACCAACAAAGACCATATAAAGTGACAAATTTCATGGGCAATGTTAAGAAATAGAAGCATAGATGAAGGACACACAAATAAGACAAAGCTGAACAAAGTTAGGACAACAGTATTCTCACAAAGCAAAAACAAGGGACAGAAAACTGAGAATCAATTGGTTTAAGGATTACAAGGACACCTGGGCTGAATGTTTCCAAAAATGTCTCCAAAGAAATACTTTCAACAGGACTTTCACCCTACACTTTATGAAGCTACTGCAATCTCTTTCCTATTAACCACTAGCCTCAATTTAAACATCTACTCAAAGAACAGATAGGCTGCACTATGCTGCCACCTGCAGAGCAGACTTAATACAAAAAATTTCCAGAGAATATTTAAATATGTTGTCTATTAAAAGTGCTGAGGCAAATTGTAAAAAAAAAAAACAAAATTAAAACTAGTTGGGGCAGAGTGTGGTGTAGCAGGTTAAGCTGCTGCTGGCGATGCCAACATCCCATATGGGCACTGGTTTGGAACCCAGCTGCTCCACTTCCAATCCAGCTCCTGGTTAATGTGCCTAGGAAAGCAGGGGAAGATGGCTCAAGTGCTTGGACCACTGTTACCCATATGAAGCGCCTAACTCCTGGCTTCAGCCTGGCCCAGCCTCAGCTGTTGTGACCATTTGGAGAGTAAACCAGCGGATGGAAGATTGTGTGTGTGTGTGTGTGTGTGTGTGTGTAAACACTGCCTTCCAAACAAATACTAACAGTGTAAGTACATCAGGAGAAGTCAGAGAGGTGCTGGAACAGAGAGATAAGAGTATGTCACAGATAATGCCTAAGTTGAAAAATCAAGAAACAATAATATATTACCAATACAGAAAACCACAAGACTCTAAAATAAAACAAGAAGAAAGAGACTAGAACTAGAGGAACATCTGTTTTTTGTAAGAACTTATTTCTTGAACATGTGACAATTATATTAAATTTTTCTAAGTACTATAATTTTTTCCCCAAAATGCATTAACCCTGCCTAAGAATAAAAGAATGAGCACTTCCTGGGATGCTTTTTGGTTTGGTTTTTTGAACTTAGATAATCTCAAATGTTTTGAAAACCAAGAAATGAATTTGAAAACTACAAAAGTTATCAAAAAGCAAAATTTCAAGTACAGGAGGCTAAAAGCAATACAAAAATTACTAAGCAGTACTGCAAACTCTCTTCAATAGACACCCATCACTACCAGGTACAGAAGAGGTTTACTACTAGCTTGTTTATATGAAAAAAAGTTTACCTATTAGAAAAAGCAAAAGGAGGAACAGGAATTAATAAACATTTACTGAGAACCAACAAATCTGAGGTACTTAATCAGGATTTTCAGAAAAATACAACTTAAATCATGGTCATCCGAGTCACTTCAGGACAACTAAAGCCCTATCTATTAGCACCACAAGCCTGAATATCTGTAGCCATTTAACATTTAAAAGAAAATAAGGTTACTGTACAAAGTCAAGACATACAATGGCTAATAAAAAGATTTGCAAAGGTATTTGTTACACAAAATTACATGTTCAACAGACTCTAATGTAATGCCATACAGGGCCAAAATGACTAGGCAGACCACAGCAATGATCTCACATTTCGAGTCTAATATTAACTATTTTATCCTACATAGCTGTATGTCAATAGACTATTTTATTGTGAGTTTATTTTGAAATTTTATAATTGACATTCTTATCTTGACTTTACAAAACATAAAAAGTAATGCAAATGTACATTAAAATATTACCATATTTACCTAATCCTTACACCAAGCCTTACACCAAGCTACTTGAATAAGATATTTCTCATCAGTAAACTCTCATTTCTACATGAAAAATACTTTAAAGCAAATGGCCAATTATTTAAAACCAAAAATCGTTATACAGAAATCATGTATTTAGTAGGAAACTCAGTATATAGCTTAGCATCCAACTCAGCAAGTGCCAAAAAAGAAAAAAAATTACCTCCTTCCTTCCTCAATTTGGTAACAGCAACATTCCTAAGTGAACAGAATACCACTCACTAACACAGGCTTGTACTCTCTCCTATAAGGCATCAAGTTTTCACATCAGTATATGAAGATACATTTTCAAAACTGATAAAGAAATAAACCTTAAATGGTACAGTTGAGCTACAAGCATAAGAAATCATTAATTGCTATACGATGATTACAAATACAATCAACCTAAAATCTTTCAAATCAGTATTTCAAATTGTAATCTAAAAAAAAAATGTTAGATGCAAGGGCCATTACCTCTGTTATAAGAGATGATATGCTTAAAAAAAAAACATTATAAAATTTATAATGTAAATATTACAAATTATATCATCCTAAAGTAATACATTTGTAAACTAAATAAGGTTTCCAGACAAAAAGGCTCACCTTCATCCACAGAAAACTGACAGCTCTTATCATTGAAGAAAAGTATTTTCTTCTTATCAGGACGATTTACAAAAAGTATCTGGTCCCCTAAAGCCTGAAAAACAGATTTTTCAGTTAACTCCAAATTACTTTTTTTATTTTTCAAGATCTATTTATTTGAAAGTCAGTTACACAGAGAGAGGAGAGGCAGAGAGAGGCAGAGAGAGGCAGGCAGAGAGAGAGAGAGAAAGAGAGAGAGAGGGGGAGAGAGAGAGGTGTCGAGGTCTTCCATCCGATGGTTCACTCCCCAGATGGCCGCAACAGCTGGAGCTGCGCCGATCCAAAGCCAGGAGCCTCTTAGGTCTCCCACATGGGCGCAGGACGCAAGGACTTGGGCAATCTTCTACTGCTTTCCCAGGCCATAGCAGAGAGCTGGATCGGAAGAGGAGCCGCCGAGACTAGAACAAGCACCTACATGGGATGCTGGCACTTCAGGACAGGGCATTAATCTGCTGCGCCACAGCACTGGCCCCTGCCATTTCTTTTAACCCACAGTTCTGTGTTCCATTAGGGTGCGTAAGAACCCAAATTTAGTTTTTTTAGTTTCTTTCTTAAGCAATTCTGACTGTTTTTATGGAATGATTGTTTCAAGATTTTTATTCATATAAGTCTTTCCAGATAACAAAACAAAGTTTGGTTTTATTTTATTTACTTTTTGTTTTTTTTTGTTTGACAGAAGAAAACTCAGTTTATGTTGGACCTAGCAGCTGGGATGCCCACATCCATACTGGAGTGCCTGGGTTCCAGTACAGGTTTCAACTCCAGGTTCCAGTTTCCTACTGATGCAGAATGCAGACCCTGAGAGGCAGCAATAACAGCTCAAAGTAGTTGGAGACCTGGATGCCATTCCTGGCTCTGGCCTCACTCAGTCCCAGTCGTTCTAGGCATGTGGGGAGTTATCTAGCGGATGGGAGTTTTGCCTCAATAAATTCATCAATCTTAATCTTTGTTGCAATTACATTAAGGTCCTCTGCAAATTAAAGATACATGTTAAATTTAAGATATACATGGGATTTTAGTGTTCTTAATTTTTTTCTACCTTGAAAAATTTTGAAACTTTCCTTATGAATTATTTTCAGTGTGTTTCTAAACAGCTCAAACACTAATAAGATGGAATAATTAGCCGGCGCCGCGGCTCACTAGGCTAATCCTCCGCCTTGCGGCGCCAGCACACTGGGTTCTAGTCACGGTCGGGGCACCGGATTCTGTCCCGGTTGCCCCTCTTCCAGGCCAGCTCTCTGCTGTGGCCAGTGAGTACAGTGGAGGATGGGCCAAGTATTTAGGCCCTGCACCCCATGGGAGACCAGGAGAAGCACCTGGCTCCCACGTTCAGATCAGCTGGTGCGCCGGCCACAGCGTGCCAGCCGCTGCGGCCATTGGAGGGTGAACCAACAGCAAAGGAAGACCTTTCTCTCTGTCTCTCTCTCTCTGTCCACTCTGCCTGTCAAAAAATAAAAATAAAAAAATAAGATGGAATAATTAAGTCACCCTGGAGTGTGATACGAAAGTAACTAAACACATAAGCTCTCCCTGACCTAATAACTAATAGAGAACCTAAAAGCAATCTGTAGAAGTGAAAAGGACACTTTGAGAAGCAATGACTTGAAAAGCCCTGTCTTGACTGTTGAGGAACAATTTTTTTTAGTAACACTATTTGTTGAACTCTAAACATAGAGTTAATCAAATGTGTATAAAGTCAACTAAAAATCGATCTTAGTAAAAAATAAGAGTGGGAATAAGAGAGGGAGGAGGAAGAGGGGTGGGAGTATGAGTGGGAGGGCAGGCATGGGAACAATCCCATGTTCCTAAAGTTGTAATTATGAAGCACATGAAGTCTGTATTTAAAAAAAAAAAGTAAACACACATCCTTTAAAAAAAAAAAAAACTGATTTATTTGAAAGGCAAAGTGATAGAGGGAACGGGAGAGACAGATCTTCTATACTGGTTCACTCTCCAAATCACCACAATAGCCAGGAGTAGGCCAGGCTGAAGCCAGCAGCCTGGAGCTTCATCTATGTCTCCCATGTAGGGGCAGGGGCACAAGCACTCAGGCCATCTCCTGTTGCTTTCTCAGGTGCATTAGCAGGGAGCCGGATGGAAAGTGGAACAGCAGGACTTGAACCAGTTCTCATATGGGATGCCAGTGTCACAGGCAGCGGCTTAACCCACTATGCAACATCTACCCTAATCATTTAGTTTTCTTAAGTGTATTGATCAAAGCACAATATAATCCTTTCAGAAGATATAAAATATTAGAGTCGTCACTACTGTCTTTTAGCTTTCGTTGAGCATACTTAATTCAGAACTTCAGATGGCCTGAGTGCTTGAGCCCCAGGCCAGGCCCTTGCAGCCATCTATGGAGTGAACTACCTCTAACTCTTTCAAATAAAAAAGAATATTAAAAAATCCTAGTAAAGGTGTTTTAATACCATTCCTTTCTTCTGCTTATTATTCATAAAATGACTTTAAAAATCAGAAAAACAGTAAAGAGTCCTTAGGTGCTAAAAGAAAATGTAGGGGAAACACTTCAAGACATTGGTATAGGCCGGCGCCGTGGCTCACTAGGCTAATCCTCTGCCTGCTGCGCTGGCACACCGGGTTCTAGTCCCGGTCGAGGCACCGGATTCTGTCCCAGTTGCTCCTCTTCCAGTCCAGCTCTCTGCTATGGCCCAGGAGTGCAGTGGAGGATGGCCCAAGTCCCTGGGCCCTGCACCTGCAAGGGAGACCAGGAGAAACACCTGGCTACGAATCAGCACGGTGCGCTGGCCACAGCGCGCCGGCCGCAGCAGCCATTGGAGGGTGAACCAATGGAAAAAGGAAGACCTTTCTCTCTGTCTCTCTCTCTGTCACTGTCCACTCTGCCTGTCAAAAAAGACATTGGTATAGGCGATGACTTCTTGGATAAGATCCCCAAAGTACAGGCAAGCAAAGCAAAACTAGACAAAAGGGATTGTATTAAACTCAGCAGCTCCTTCACAGCAAAAGAAACAATCAACAGAGTGAGGACATCCAACAGAATGGGAGAAAATATTTGCAGGCTACTTATCCAACAAAGGATTAAAATCCAGAATGTTAACTCAAAAAACAAAATAACCAATCCAGTTAAGAAATGGACAGAAGACCTGAACAGACAGTTCTCAAAAGAACACAAATGGTCAAAATCACTAACTATCAGGGAAATGCAAAATAAGGTATCACCTCATCCTTGAAGGGATGGCTATTATACAAAAGACAGCACAAGTACTGGGAGCTTATAGAGAAAGGGGAACACTTATACACTGTTGGCAGGATATAAATTTTCTTTCATTATTGAGTATGGTCCATGCCTAATTTCCTGCTGGACTACTGTATTTTGTTATTTGTTCAACTCTTCATTTAGTGGAGTCAATAAGCCTTTGACTATAATGTAAATTAAAAATATGTTATCTCAAAAAACAAATACTTTTGTAACAAAGTCCAAAGGTCCTGGGTGGTAATATGTAAAGCAAATAAAAAAAAAAGATATTGCTGAAAGAAATGAAAGATAAATATATGGGAAGATTTCCATGCTCGTGGATTAGAAGACTTAATATTGTAAAGATGTCAATACTACCCAGAGTGATCTACAGATTCAACATAATCCCTCAAAATACCAAAGGTGGGGGTGGCACTGTGGCGCCGTGGATTAATGCCCTGTTCCTGAAGTACTGGCATCCCATATGGGCACTGGTTCAAGTCCTGGCTGCTCCACTTCCAATCCAGCTCTCTGCTATGGCCTGGAAAAGCAGTAGAGGATGGCCCAAGTCCTTGGGCCCCTGCACTCATGTGGGAGACCTGGTAGAAGCTCCTGGCTTCAGATCAGTGCCACTCTGGCCGTTGCGGTCAACTGGGGGGTGAACCAGCGGATGGAAGACCTCTCTGCCTCTCCTCCTCTGTTTAACTGTGACTTTCAAATAAGTAAAAATCTTTAAAAAAAATACCAAAGGCATTTTTCCTGCAGAAATAGAAAAATATTTCTGCAAATGTGGAATCTCAAGCAATCCCAAATGGCAAAAATAAAAACACACACACACACACGGCAAAAAAATTTGAAAAGATTTAAGAGATCTTACCTTCCCTAACTTATAATATCTTAAAACATTGCAGTAACCAAAACATTGTGGTATTGGCATACATACAAACCCATGGAATAGAAGAGAAAGCCTGGAAATAATCTTCCCATTTGGTCAAATGATCTTCAACGACAGTGCCAAGATGACTCTTGAATGTGGAAATGACAATTTATTCAACAAATACTACTGGGAAAACTGGTATCAACATGTAAAAGAATGCAGCTGTAGGGGCTGGCACTGTGCCTTAGTATTGTTAAGCCTCTGTCTGCAGCACCAGCACCACGAATATGCCCATTCGTGTCCCAGCTGTTCCTTTTCTGATCCAGCTCTCTGCTATTGCCTGGGAAAACAGTGGAAGTTGGCCCAAGTGCTTGGGCCACGTGGGAGACCTAAAAGAAGCTCCTGGCTCCTGGCTTTGGATCAGCTCAGCTCATGCCACTGTGGCCATTTGGGGAGTAAACCAGTAGATGGAAGGCCAACCGACCTCTTTTTTGTTCTCTCTTTAACTCTACCTCTCAAATATTTTTTGAAAGTAATAAAAAAGCAATGAAGCTGTACTCTTGTCTTACACCATATACAATAACTAGGTAACGAGGTGGTCTAAAGACCTAAACATAAGATCTAAAATTATGGGACTGGCACTGTGGTGTAGTGGGTTATGCTGCACCCCGAGACGCTGGCATCCAATATGGGCACTGGTTCAAGTCCCAGCTACTCCACTTCCAATCCAGTTCCCTGCTAATGTGTGCCTAGGAAAGCAGCAGAGGATGGTCCAGTACTTGGGCCCCTGCATTCTCGTGGAAGACCTGGAAGAAGCTACTAGCTCCTGGCATCAGCCTAGACCAGCCCTGGCTGTTGCAGCCATTTGGGGAGTAAACCAGTGGGTGGAAGGTATCTCCCTGTCTCTCCCTCTCTCTCTGTAACTCTTTCAAATAAATAAATATTTTTAAAAATTTTTTTTAAA